GGCCAGCATAACGGTGGGTAGGTCCAGGGAAGGGTGGGCTGCGAGGCAGCGATAGCCGCGATTGCAGGAGACGGGGGTGCAGGCGGACGAGGGCTTGGTTGGCTGGCAGCTACACGAGGAAGAAGTAGCAGAGGTTGAAGATGAACAGTAACATGGTCTATTTTCAGTCGTTGGATGAAGATCTAACAGCCCTTAATGAAAGTGACTGATGCAACATATTATTTCAGGCACCTGACGTATAGGCTATTCCAAAACAAACTGGTGACCCAACAAAAATCGCAGTAGATCGGTGCACTTTCTCAAAGGAGTTTGCTAAACCTACGACCCACTCTGAAATACGAGGGGTGTGTTTGGTTACGTGTGTAAAGAGGTTTCGTAGCGTATGCAAAAGGTTTGCATAGGTTTAGCATTTTTGTTTGCGTAGTCGGGATATTTGTTTACAGCTAACCCTATAGTATTTTGTCTTCTACCCACCACAAAAGAAAATAGCAACTGTTTTCATTCAAAAGGAGGATAAATCGCGCCCATAAGGAGAACATTTTTATTTACGAGAAAATTTTCAATCTATTCGTCTTCAATCATAACAGTATAACAAACACAAAAAAATAAAAGTTATATCCAGATCCATAGACCACCTAGCGATGACGAGAACGATTTGAAGTGTTAAACCAACGTACTCCCTCCGTCTCATAATACAACAGGGGATTTTGACACTAGTGTTTAAAAGCTCTTATATTATAGGACAAAGGGAGTACCGGGCTATCCTAACAAAATCAATGAGTTAGGCTGGCTAGCTTGCAGCGAAACTATGAGTTCGGCTCGGCAATATGCACTAGCTAGGACAGTGAACGTGGAGCGTGCCACAACTGAAGCAGTGAAAGAAGTAAATGTTGATACGTACTACTCCTAGCTAGTAGATACCAGTATCCTCTAAGCATTTAAACATTCAATAATCCTACATCTATGATGGGCTACCAAAGTTTTTACGTAACTTTCCTTTACTAATTCTCTACCTCACTAATTTTCAGTGGGATGGGCCCGTCCTTGCCTCTAGTCTCAATCATAAACTCCCAACTACTCCTTTCATTCGAAATTACTTGTCGCAGAAATGAATGTATTTAGACGATACGTCTAGATACATCCATTTTCAAAACAAGTAATTCTGAACGGAGGGAGTAGCTACCCACGTAAAATTTACGTAAATCTGTTCATAGGTGCAGCATGCTCTGATCTTAAACATTGGACTAGGCTCGTGGAATCAGTCCCGTTCCATGCATGTGCGCTAAACGTACCGCTCGCTCGTTGTCGCACATGCCGTTTGCCTACACGTCGGTAGGTCCCGAAACGGCTTTGCTACACCTACGTAATAATTATTACGAAACTTATGTATGAGCTGATGTGGGCTGATTTGGTTGGAAGAGAGAAAGGGCCAGGCCCACCCCCTGAAAATCAAGGGGGGGCGGGGGGTGGGGGGGGGAGGCGATTAGTTTATGGGGAAGGAAAATTACGTAGCTTCACGTAACCAAATCAGTCCACATCAGCTCATACGTAAGTTTCGTAATAATTATTATGTAGGTGTAGCAAAGCCGGGTCCCGAAATGCAGTGGGATCATGGGACTTGTTGATATGTCTTTATCTGGAAATTACGAGCTATTAATACCACTGCCGTTCGTCCATTGTGGTCTTCAACTCTCTTTTTTGACGTCGTCTTCGACTTCAAGAGCCTATGCACGATAGGCGCTCATCGCGTACTACCTCATTGGTCTCAAAAGGCAGTTGGCCCGTACGTGGGACTTGATGTGTCTTAATCTGGAAATTACGAGTTATAATGCCTAACTTTTGTTATCAACATACCTCGCAAAAAAAACTTTTGTAATCAACATCTTCCGTGCATTGCTTTCTTTCAAGAGCCTATGTACAATTGGAGTTCATCGCGTATCTACCTGGTCTCTTTTGTCCTCTCTTCATTAGGCCGCCTTCTTTGCGTTCCCTTAAAGCATCTACAGCTGGATTTATCAAATCAGGCCCCTCTAACATTCACAGACTGTTCAGACATGTCCACAGACAATGACTGGTCACCTCTTAAATTTTTGTCTCCACAATTGAGTATATCATTTAGCAAACCTCAAATCCACGGAACCGCATGCATTCTAAACCATCTTCACAATGCAAGCAACCGTCTATATCGACTTTTTTCTTTTACCGGTCAATGACTGGACCGTCCGCCCGGACATGCAGGGGGATTGGAGGCTTGGGGCGCTAGGCTGTCTTAGGACTGTACACGGAGCAACCCCAAAAGGATGCATGCAAACGAGTCCGCAAAGATGGTGACCGTTCGCGTTAATTCTTTTTGCAGCATGGTTATTAAAGCAACAATAAATATAGTAGCTTATTTTTATCTTCATGGACAGACACACCCACTTGCATCCCTATTTATTGTTGCTACCCTATTTATTGTTGCTTTAATAACCACTATTTCTTAAAAAAGGGACAATTCAATCTAGCTTGTCACCATAATTGAGGACAAGATCCACATACCTTCTTGTTTATGTGATGCCACATTCATTTCAATAATTTTCACAGGACCTGTTCGGAGCAGGGACAGACTCGACCATAATCGTTTTGGAATGGGTCATGGCCGAACTACTCCGCAACAAGGAAGCGATGCAAAAGCTACAACAAGAGATCAGACGCCACTGCACGAAGAGTCACTCACGCGTCATCACCGAGCAGGACCTCCAAGCATTGAAGTACCTTAGGGCCGTCATCAAGGAGACGATGCGGCTGCATCCGCCAGGGCCTCTCCTTGTCCCTCGCGAGTCTATGCAGCACGCAAAGGTCCACTTCTACGACGTCCCACGTGGGACAAGAATCATTGTGAACGCATGGGCTGTTGGCAGGGACCCGGCGGTATGGGATAACGCTGACGAGTTTCGTCCAGAGCGGTTCCTTGATAGCGAGGTGGACTTCCGTGGGCAGCATCCTCAACTCATACCGTTTGGCGCCGGGAGGAGGATGTGCCCTGGGATCGGGTTCACGACATCCGTCGTCGAGCTGGCACTAGTGAACCTGTTGGGACAATTCAATTGGACGGTTCCTATGTTGAAGAATAAGGCGCCGGGGATGGTGAACATGGAGGAGGCCTCTGGGATCACATCACGAAAGAGGGTGCCGCTGTGCGCCGTAGTGACACGGCCGACATAGTTGTATGGGTATTATTTAGCAATAACATTGGGCTATAGTATGTGTTGTCAGGTTTTGTTCTAAAGGACGTGTTGTCGATGTAATTTGTTTTTTTAGTATAGTACATACGCACATATACTCACCTCTATGAACGCACGCACGCATGCACGCTCTATCCGTATGGGCATCTCCGAGAGACTAAGTCGGCACATCATATTGAGATTCATAAAGTCGCCACAGACGTCTTTTTAGTCGACGGAAACGACACCCCCCACTAAACGCACATCGTCGAAAGGCCTGAAATAAATCTAGAAAAACATGAGCATCAGTGTCAAATTTAGGATTTAAATTTTGATGGACTGGGAATATCATTGTTCTCCTAAACATTCAACCACAGGTTAGTCTGCGTCTGTGTAATTTGCCGAAACAAAGTTTATTGTGCTGGTCACGTTGGATGCTAATGCTAGTGTGATGACTAGTGACTATCATTGGAGATTGTTGACAATCTGTTTCAGTCACGACCTTTTGGATGCCGTTAGCAGCTGTCATCGTCATAGCGTCTCCACAGGCAACTAACTCAATTGCAAATGGATTGGTTGGCAATCATCTTATCACAGAGATGTGATATTAGAGCATCTCTAACCGAAGCTCAGAAGGGGCCTAACTTCTCGAAGGCAGTTATCTTATCACAGAGATGTGATCTTAGAGCAACTCTAACCGAAGCTCGGAAGGGGCCTAACTTCTCGGAAGACAACTAAATTCATATTTGTTTAGCTGCTCAAATTGTTGAGGAGAAGTCTCCGCCAACCCTCAATATTGGGCGCGAGTTATCAGCAAAAGATCCCCTTCCCTCCCTCGCATGGCTGCCTCTCCCCTGCTTGTGCATCTACGTTGGCCACCGCACACTCATGCCGACACCCCGTAGCCCCCGCCAACATCCCGCTCGACTTTAGTTCGTTCTGCAGCCGTCTCCGGAATCGACGCATCTAGAATCCGATCCGCCGCCGCCACGAACTCGTCGACCAGAAAGGCCACGGCGGAGCCACGTTTTGTCGGTAATGGAACCACATAGCCACCCCGAGGGCCCATGCAGCCTTCAAAGCTTCTTACAGTATGTCCTCGTCCTCTTGGCGCTCGCTCCTCCTGTCAGCATATCCTCATCCGGCGCTCGAACGGGCTTAAAAATGTTCACCATGTATTTGAAAATGTTCAATACATACCAAAAACATGTTACACATGTATACAAAAGATGTAGAGCATGCATTGAAAAAACTAGACATGGATTGACAAAAGGAAAGAAAAAACAACAACGGAACCGAAGAAAAATGATAAGAAAAACACATAGAAAAGCGAGAAAAAACACACGAAAGCTTTTAAACCCGGACCAAACAGGTCCATAGAAGCTTCCGAAAACCGTTCCTAGAAGCTACCGTATTGGGCCAACCCACTATCCCCGCGCCAGAGACGAGATGGATGGTTCGCTCGGTACCGGCTTAGCCCTAGTGGGTATCGAGGCCCTTTTGACGGGTGAATCTTATTTGCACTAGTAGAAAACAGGGCTTTGGTCCAGACCGGGTCAGCCCATTAGTCCCGGTTCAGTCCAGAACCGGACCCAATATGGGCATTGGTCCCGGTTCGTGAGCCCAGGGGGCCGGCCGGGCCACGTGGGCCATTGGTCCCGGTTCATCTGGATATTTTGGTCCCCGTTGGTGGGATGAACCGGGACCAATGGGCCTCGCTCCTGGCCCACCACCATTGGTCCCGGTTGGTGGCTTGAACCGGGACCAAAGGCTCCCCTTTAGTCCCGGCTCATGTCACCAACCGGGACCAATGAGGTGCCTATATATACCCCTCGCTCGCGAGCAGAGCACCCCAGTGCTCTGTTTTTCTCTGGCCGAGGGGGAGAGGTCTTGGTGGTGCTCTAGCTCACCTCCTATGCACACAAGGTGTTCGATGGAATGTCCGAGCCACACTACTTAAGCTTTCTCCTCTCCAAGCTCGACCTCCAAGCTCCATTTTCCATAATATTTGTCTAGATTTAGCGGTCCGTCACGCCCCGTCCCCGTCTTCACCGCCGTCGATCACCCGCGCCGAGCTCATCGTCGGCACCACCGTGGTGAGCCTCTTGTTTTATCTTCTTTCTGAAAGGAAAAATATTCTTACTTGTATGTTTACATAGATACTTGTAATATTTTCTTACTTTTATTATTGCATCTTATATAGTGCGATGGTTTTGGTATCCGCCCCCGTCGGCCCTCGTCCTGTCTATGATTCGGATGTGGTATATATATTATCTTTATAACTATTGGTTCATTTATTGTTTATGAAAATTATGCCGACCAACGTGACATAGATTTTATTTATGTAGGATGTATGTGAATCGGAAATGCCAACCGACCCTATTGTTGAAAGGTTAAATTTAGTTGAAGAAGAAAACAATTTGTTGAAGGAAAAAATAAAAAAAATTGAGGAGGAGAAGATGATATTGGAGTTGCATGTTGCGGATGTCGTCGATGATCACAAGATCAAGATGGATGCAATGCGCTTGAAGATTAGAAAGATTAGAAAATATGCCATTCATACCGAGGCTTGGTATCATTATGCCGTTGGATCAATTGTTACCTTGGTTGCGATTATGATCGCATTTGTTTTCGCATTGAAATGTTTTACATAGTTTTAATGTATGGTTTAATTAATTAGATGCTCTGGAGAGCTATATGTTGTTAGATGAGAACTATGTATGCACTTTAGTTTTAATGTGATGATGAACTTCTATTAATTTGGACAATTAATTATATATAATGCACGCAGATGAACCGGCAATGGATGTACGGTGACAGACACACCCGCGAGTACATTAAGGGCGTGCATGAGTTTCTCGATGCGGCTGAGGCAAACAAGCAGAATGGTTTTATGTGTTGTCCATGCACTGAATATGGGAATAGGAGGTCTTACTCTAATCGGAAAATCCTTCACTCCCACCTGCTTTACAAGGGTTTCATGCCACACTATAATGTTTGGACGAGGCACGGAGAAATAGGGGTTATGATGGAAGACGGCGAAGAAGAAGAGTACGATGACAACTATGTGCCCCTGAATACGGTGATGCTGCAACAGGGGGAGCTGGTGAAGATCAAGAGGAACCAGACGATGTGCCCAATGATGCTGCAACGGGTGAAGCTGCTGAAGATCAAGAGGAACTAGACGATGTGCCCGATGATGATGATCTCCGCCGGGTCATTGTCGATGCAAGGACGCAATGCGAAAGTCAAAAGGAGAAGCTGAAGTTCGATCGCATGTTAGAGGATCACAAAAAAGGGTTATACCCCAATTGCGAAGATGGCAACACATAACTCGGTACCGTACTGGAATTGCTGCAGTGGAAGGCAGAGAATGCTGTGGCTGACAAATGATTTGAGAAGCTACTGAAAATATTGAAGAAGAATATTCCAAAGGATAACGAATTGCCCGACAGTATATACGCAACAAAGAAGGTCGTATGCCCTCTAGGATTGGAGGTGGAGAAGATATATGCATGCCCTAATGACTGCATCCTCTACCGCGGTACATACAAGGATCTGAATGCATGCCCGGTATGCGGTGCATTGCGGTATAAGATCAGACGAGATGACCCTGGTGATGTTGACGGCGAGCCCCCCAGGAAGAGGGTTCCTGCGAAGGTGATGTGGTATGCTCCTATAATACCACGGTTGAAACGTCTGTTCAGAAACGAAGAGCATGCCAAGTTGATGCGATGGCATAGTGAGAACCGAAAGAAAGATGGGAAGTTAAGAGCACCCGCTGACGGGTCGCAATGAAGAAAAATCGAGAGAAAGTACTGGGATGAGTTTGCAAAGGACCCAAGGAATGTATGGTTTGCTTTAAGCGCGGATGGCATTAATTCTTTCGGGGAGCAGAGCAGCAATCACAGCACCTGGCTCGTGACTCTATATATGTATAACCTTCCTCCTCGGATGTGCATGAAGCGGAAGTTCATTATGATGACAGTTCTCATCCAAGGCCCTAGGCAACCCGGCAACGAAATTGATATGTACCTAAGGCCGTTAGTTGAAGAACTTTTACAGTTGTGGAATGGAAACGGTGTACGTACGTGGGATGAGCACAGACAGGAGGAATTTAACCTTAAGGCGTTGTTGTTTGTGACCATCAACGATTGGCCCGCTCTCAATAACCTTTCAGGACAGACAAACAAAGGATACCACGCATGCATGCACTGTTTAGATGACACTGAAAGTATATACCTGGACAAATGCAGGAAGAATGTGTACCTGGGCCATCATCGATTTCTTCCGACCAACCATCAATGTCGAAAGAAAGGCAAGCATTTCAAAGGCGAGGCAGATCACCGAAAGAAGCCCGCCATACACACCGGTGATCACGTGCTTGCTATGGTCAATGATTTACACTACGTAATCTTTGAAAAGGGTCCCAGTGGACTAGCTGTTCCGAATGACGCTGAGGGACACGCACACATGTGGAAGAAGAAATTTATATTTTGGGACCTACCCTACTGGAAAGACCTAGAGGTCCGCTCCTCAATCGACGTGATGCACGTGACGAAGAACCTTTGCGTGAACCTGCTAGGCTTCTTGGGCATGTATGGGAAGACAAAAGATACACCTGAGGTACGGGAGGACCTGCAACGTTTGCACGAAAAAGACGGCATGCCTCCGAAGCAGTATAAAGGTCCTGCCAGCTACGCTCTTATGAAAGAAGAGAAAGAAATCTTCTTTGAATGCCTACTCAGTATGAAGGTCACGACTGGCTTCTCGTCGAATATAAAGGGAATAATAAATATGCCAGAGAAAAAGTTTCAGAACCTAAAGTCTCATGACTGCCACGTGATTATGACGCAACTGCTTCCGGTTGCATTGAGGGGGCTTCTACCGGAAAACGTCCGAGTAGCCATTGTGAAGCTATGTGCATTCCTCAATGCAATCTCTCAGAAGGTGATCGATCCAGAAATCGTACCAAGGCTAAGGAGTGATGTGGCGCAATGT